CCTTTATACTTACTTACCATGCATATGAACATGATTATATCTTGTCAATAAAAAATAAATATAGATTTCTCAGACGACTTTCTGTATTTTGTTATAATAATAATTATTATTATCTGATCATAGTTTGCTCATGTGCAACACTTAATTGAATCGGCACTCAATTTTACAGTAGAAAAAAAAAACATTTTTAAATCTAAGTGCGTGCACATAATAGTACATATTTTTATATGTTCATTAGTATGTGTGCAAGCTAAATATTTTTATATTTATTTCATTTGTGCCCTTTTCCAAACATTAAAAATAAAAATCTAATAACATTATTTATTAAACATATTATTTAGTAAGTTAAGTAACTATAATAGCAAAGCATTTTAATAAAATTATTAGAAGTCGCATTCAGTCATCTCTTCAGAGACCGTTGTTGGACAGTCAACTATCATACTATATTTTTTTTTGTTTTACTGGGGAATATATTGGATTAAGGATTTCAAATTGTTAATTTTTTTATATTGATGGAGACTTTGGCAGTATTTTCATATGCCTTTTTAACAGGAAGATTCACCTTGGATCTGGCAGGCTTTGCTAATGAAAAAGATGATGGAATAGGTCTACCTATGTTTCCACCACAAACCACAACAAAAATTCACTGCTGATTCAACAACAAACCATTTCAAACTTAAGTTTTATTCTTAAGCCCGAAGCGTGACGACACGCCTAAACATACCCTGCGTTTCAGTGTAACTATTTCGAAAAGGTCACCTCTTTGGGTCACATATGACCTTTTGAACCAAACGCAGTGAAGCGGGTATCCAGTTATAACCCTTCTAGGTGTGCTAGCTTGATATTTTGTTCACTTTTCATACCAAATTGTTCGCGTTCAATAAAATTGTAGAAAAATCGCATAAAACGAAAATTGTAAAAATTGCCATTTGTCCCCTTTTCCAAATAACTGATTCAATTAAAGAATCTAAATTTTTTTTAGAAACGAGATAATTTCCAATATTATTCAGCAATTTTTTCTTGTATTTCTTGACTCAGCTATTCAACCAATTACTGTTGCCAGTACTAGCTCACCAGAACAATTTCCCAATGTTTATGGGACATACTTTACCATCGTAAGTGCAGATATTGCAAAAATAAATGTTTATTACCAATATAACATCACTGAATAAAAAAATGTCTGAGGATGTTTTATATTATCATTGTATTTACATAGCCTAGTAGAACAATCTCAATGCAAATTATCTTGGAGGACAATGAATAGATGGCAGCAAGCTCCATCATGTCAAAGTCATGTCTTTGATTATTTTGTCTTCTTCTACCCAACCATCGAACTGTTGTCAAAACCTAATAACAAACGTAATTTTTCTTTTTACTAATAGATGGACCCATAGTCCATTAAGTATGAACCGAATATTTTTTTTTAGATGAGATATATGTTACGTTGTAATCGTCACTCCCTTTTAATAATTACAATATTTAATTAGTTCAAATATTCCAATATATTCTAATACTTTTTGAGCACCCCTCGTATTTGGAAATATAGATATTATGTTAATTCGGGGAATTTGTCTCTGTCTGAGACATTCGATGGTTCAGACAATGATGCGCTTTCTCTAAAAAATCAATAATTACGGTCCGAGGTTGTGCGCACGCCTGCTTATCTCTCGATGTGATCGTTTCATATTTCACACATGCTGTCGGTTTTTGAAATTCTTTTTCAATCTAGCAGCTAAACAAACCGATTGGTTTTAGTGCTTTGTTTAAGTGTGTCCGAACAAACTAAGGTAATCGAATCATTTTTTTTTTATAATGAATGGTAGAAATTAATTTTATTATATTTGTATATCAGAGCTGGGGAGGATTTGAATCCATTTTGAGGATCCGAGAGCGGGATTCGAATACTTTAGAAAAAAAGGAACCGTGATCCGGATTCGCAGAGAAAATCCTAAAGGATTCGTATTGGAATCATCAATATCAGTCTCGGATCCTTTTAGAGACCAAACTACGCCGGCGCAAACGGCCGACTCAAGCTTTGACTTGTCACGAATTGTAAACTAAAACAGACTGAGACTGAATAGAAAACCGATGTGTTGTGTTTGGCGTTGTGCACGATTACAGAATTAACAAATAATCTGATATAGATCCTCAATACAGGTAATAAGTGAAAAAAAATTCTGCATCCACATGTAGGTATATTATTTATTTTTCTAATTTTTGCACGATATACAAAATAAATATGTGGGCGATATTAGTCTATTGAACGAATATAATATATAATTATATCCATTCTGTTTTCTATCAATTACAATTAATTCATTACTTATTGTCAAGTTGACTATTTTTTTTTTTATTTAAAATGAGTTTTAGTTATTAATATAAAATATAATTAAAAATTAGTGATTCTTGTGAAAAATCGATAAATAACGGCAATCAACTAGAGTTTTTTTTTATTTACAAGGAAACTTAAGTAAAGTTTAAACAATTTTTATACTTATACGAGAGTCAGTAGAGCGCGTCACTTAGGTAATCGCCTATATGCTAAATGTGACAGCCAGCTTCGTTTTTCAGCTTCAAGTTTTAAATGTTTTTATTTATTTATTTACGGGTCAAAACTCATTTTACAGAATTGTATAACAAAGTTCCTTAACAAATATAAGACAATTGGCAGCATTACAACGAGTTATAAATAATAATATACACGGCAGTGGCGTAACTACCATAAGGCAAGTATTGCAAATATTTGAAGCCTAATGTTTAAGTTTTTTTTATTAAACTCTCGAGAATTTATAATAATTTGCAACTTAATTACTACTTAGTTTAAATTGAAACTTGATTCTCTTTAATAAAAAGAAATATTATGTTGTCATATGTAAAATAAATGAAAAAAATTGAGTGCCGTTGTTTTATTTTTAATTAGCATTTGTGATTTGTAACTGAAATCTTTATGTATTTTGCATTAGGGCCAAAAAATATGGTTACGTCATTGACACACGGTGTCTCAAAAAAGTTTTATAGAAATGGGAAAGAATTATTTTACTTTTTACAAAAAAAAATTCTTGATAAAAATTCTGCATCGCTAAAATGCTAAAATGTGTATTAGAAATTTTTTAATTTTACAATTTTATTTTTATTATGTATTTTCAAGTGATGCAGAACTTTATATCAGGAATATTTTCTTTGTAAAATGTAAAAATATATTTTTCCCATTTGTATAAATTTTTTTGAAACACACTGTATGTAGGAGTACCTTCGAGTACACCTCTAAAAGGTCACACAAATAGCACGCCATACTTATTAATTAATACCACAGTATAACACTGACAGTGATTCGTATCCGTGATCCGAAAAAAAGGATTCGAATCCTTTTTTTTTTGAAAAAAGGATTCGAACATTGGATCCGTGATTCGAATCACATCTCATGATTCGGATTCGTGATTCGAATCCATTTTTCGAGGATTCGTCCCAGCTCTGTTGTATATCCGGTGAAATTATTTGTGACTTATTTCTTTAATTTATTTTCGAGATTTCCGCGTAATATGAGAACCACATGTAGTGTACAAAATGGCTGCCATTAATTTTATATTTTTTTTTCTCAGTTATTTAAAAAATCTTTCCATTCTTCATGTATTTTAATTTAAATACTATTGCAAAACTCTAGTATTGTTGAAATGTTCAATTTCAAAATGTTTAATTTAAATAGTAAGCTTTTATGGCTGACCACATGTTTTGTATTTTTTTTGAAGCAATGGAAAGATATGTTTTTTTTTTTGTTGTAACTGACACGTTTTTTCTTTCTTAAAAAATAAGGAACTGGCTCTGTAACAACTAAGGAACTGGCTCTGTAACGATTAAGGAACTGGCTCTGTAACGACTAAGGAACTGGCTCTGTAACGACTAAGGAATTGGCCTTTATAACTAAGAACTGCAGAATGTCTTTAAGTCATTGTAAGCTGAGTTACATCTAGAACTGCAGAATCTCTTAAGTCATTGTAAGCTGAGTTACATCTAGAACTACAGAATATTAGGAAGTCATCGTAGGTTGAGCTACCATTAAGACAGCGACACGGACCAGTTCGACCGTTGAAATCCGGAAACACAAGATAAGTGTCGGCCAGGACCACACACACACAATTTTTGAGTCATAGTCATACTAGTCAATTTTAATTTTAAACTCATCAGTCAAATAACGTAAACAGTAAAATTTGTTAAAATCAATAAATTTTATTTTCTTTTTATTGTAATATCAGTCATCAATTCAATTTGAAATTAAAGCCGCTTAATTGTTTTGAAATTTAAGTTCTTTATTTTTCCTTATTTTCAACTGACAAGTTAATGACAAATTTACTTTTATTGTACATCTAAAGGTATGGCGCCCAATTAATTTAATTGAATTCTTTTAAGTCTTAAAGACCTTGTCATTGACTTGAAGGTAAATTCTAAACGAATCCCACCGACCTATTTTGATCTGAGCTAGGCCTGAGGCTTGTAAGAATTCTTATTATAAGGATTTTTACAATGAGACCATGGTAAGGGTTAGAAACTTAACGTATCATCTGGTGCAAAATATGTTTTTATAACGTAACTTTGTAAACGTAACATTTTTTATAAAACGTAACATATAAGAGTTTTAATTATTTTTGATGTACATTTATTTACGATTTATCATCATTTTAGAGAATATAACAATATTAATTTAAATTTGACAACCTACCCAAATGAATTTAATAATAAAGGAAACATGTATGTAGAATTCTATACTCAATGATCGAGGGAACGCTAGAGCATGAGCCATTTTGATGAAGTTCTGTACAGTTCTAACAGATGTAACAACAGAATTACCTCCAATGAAACTTCTATAAGGTTGTTCTACTAAGATATCTAAATACAATTAATTATTAAATTAATTTGTGTAAACAAACAACTCTCATATTAATTCTTGTAGGTACAGCTAGCTGTAAACTGTTATTTTTGAAATAAAGATGTAAATAATTAAAGACAATCACCACTTAATATATTTTTTTTAGAATTGCATCACTGTAACTAATATCTATTTATTTATTATTAGTAATTTACCATTGACACGAGAAAAAGAGTATAAATTATTAAAATTGTTTTTTCATAAATATATATTTCATTTATTATCCTCTTCACCATCTTTTGTACTTGTTGCAACAATAGGATTTTTATCAATAAAATGCATAACTTTTTTTGCTATTGCTTGATAAACTTTACTTAAGTCACTGGATATATTTTCTACTGCTATAGGTGTTCCCTTATCTGTGCTTTCAGATATGCAAGGATCTAAGGGAAAGCTACCCAAAAGATCACATTCCAAATCCTTCGCTAACTGTGTAGTACCTGTAATAATAATAATCATCTTTAAAAGTGTTTATTTTACATTTTTTTCTACTTGCTAATAATATATTTGTGATACTTAATTCTTAAAATAAATGTTCGTAATGCTAAAAAGTATATGATATTACAAACCTGAACCATATATATCAATTTTAGTTGAACAGGAAGGACAGTTAATATATGCCATATTTTCTATAAGACCAATAACTGGTATGTTCATAATTTTAAAAATGCCTGCACCTCTTTTGGTTACTTCTAATGCTGCTGATTGAGGTGTAGTTACAAGAAGAACACCTAAAAATATATTAGGAGATATAGAATATAAAAATCTAAAAAAAATTGATCAATTATACCAGTTATAGGCAAGTTTTGAACCAAACTTAATAAAGTATCTCCAGTGCCAGGAGGTGTATCTACTACCAAATAATCAATATTTCCCCAAGAAACATGTTTAGTTAAGGTTTCTAAGCCCTGCATTACTTTCAGACCTCTCCATATGATGGGTGCGTCTTTTTCTACAAGAAACCCTATGGACATACTAATTTTTATGTAGATATTGTCTTAAAAAGAAGGCCTACTTACATCAAATCCTGCATTATATTTGATTTTAAGAAAGAATGGTTACAACTCATCATTGGAGTTCACTGAATATTTGTTAATTGAAATAATAAAAATTATATTTGGTAAAACTGTCTTACCATTTTATTCCATAATTCATTAGAGGTGTCAATTTTTTTTCTTCTGTAACATACGGTTTTGAACTTAAGTTCATCATTATAGGGATTGAAGGACCAAAACAATCTGTATCTAATAGACCAACTTCTTTATTTGGGTTAGTTAATTTTAAAGCAGTTGCAAGATTCACTAAAAATAAATTTGTGAAAGATAGGTGTTCATAAATGATGTTGAATTAACTTAAATACTATTGGGTTAGTGGGGTAATTATTCAAAATTATTATTTAAAAAATCAGCAGTGAAAGTAAACGATAATTCAGGCTTCAAAAAAGGTTCTCAGTTCCTCGGAACATTTTTCTGTTTGTATGTTGATCAATAATTCTTTACCACCTCTGATTTCTGATTTTTTTTTGTTTGAAATGGGTACCTAAGGGGTGGTCCCATATAAATGTAGTCAAGTTCTGATGATGGAATCCCTGATAAAATCATCATTCATTGGAATCATTTTTTACAATTTCTTTTATAAGTTGTTTATTATAAATTTCTGCTTCACTGTGAGTTTCATCAATGAATTATTAACATAATTATTACCTGATACAGTGCTTTTGCCAACCCCCCCTTTCCCTGAACATACTAGTATTATATTTTTAACACCATCTATTGCTTTTTTCTTTGGAAGGCCCCTTTTCATAAGTTCCTCTCTTCGTTTTTCTAAATCGGATGCAGTTTTTTGAGTTGATAAACATTCTGTAAACTATATACATACATTTATGAAATATTTATTTTATAAGTATTAAAACGGTAAAGTTGCAGGAAAGGTATGTACTGACGCGCATCCTGGCCGCGCATATAAAATAATTAATTTATCTATGGTTTTACGACAGTATAACTGTACAACATTATCAGATTGCTACTTTTATATTATTAATAAATAAAATCTAAGTAAAATAACAAATAAATAAATATAAACAACTACGCGATAAATATAACGATGTTTACATATGCGCGGCCAGGATGCGCGTTAAGTACATACCTTTCCTACAACTTTACCATTAAAACTATTATTACCTGTGCGACATTAGGTGTATTGCTAATTAAACGAAACTTTTGAAAAGATCTGAACATTGTCATTCTTAGCAAGGATAAGCGAAAGGAGTTTGACGTTATTAAAGATAGTCTTACATAATATATACCCACTAGCCCTAATTAATAAAGATAATTTACAACATTAAAAATTTAATTGTTTAAATCAAAAAGTAAGGTTATTGTCATCACAGACCATACCCTTTAATTGTCATCTTATTTGTCTTCTTCTTTTTTTCTTTTATTTGGCTGTCACATTTGTTATTTGTTCCTAATCAAAGATCTACGATTTAGCTAGACAGGTACGTAAACAAGGGAAACATGAGGAGGGAACCTAAATAGAAAAACACTTCCATCCATGTTCCAACGGTAACAGGGACTTTGACTGCCAGCTACGATAATGCTGTCGGCTACGTAACAGTCACTTTGACTGGACATTGAAAAACCGACCCTAAATAGATTAAAGAAAAACAATGGGAATTTTAAGTGAATTTCTTGTCTAGTTATAAGAGGTATATGTTTTAAGTTATTGTGAGCTTCAACATTACATGTACACAGTCATTTTTAATACCACCTGCTCACGCATTGTAGTACAAATTGAAAAAAAAAAGAAGAATAGAATACAATTTCTGTCAATGTCAATACTGTCAATTTGGATGAAATTTCATAAATAAAACTATGTGATATTTTTTAAAAAATATTAACAATAACATAATTTTTCTGAATTTGCAATATTGTGGGGATAAATAATGTGATTTCAGTTGCAAGTTAAAATTTTATCGTCATTTGAATGAAAAGAATGGGCTATAAAGCAGCTGTTCAAGTTTTAAAGTATGTATCGAATATCTATTTTGCAATATTTTGAAACATATTTTTTTAATTTGATATTTTAGGCAAGCAGAAGATTTGAAAATAAAGGTGTCGAGGAAATGCGACTGGCTAAATAATGCTGAAGCTTGGACAGATCAGCAAAAACTGCAAACCATCTATCATCAAGTATTAGTCTTAGATCTGGAATATGCACTTGATAAAAAGGTAGAACAAGATCTATGGAATATTGGATTTAAAAACCACATATCTAGTTTACAAGAACAAGCTAGAGATAAAAAGGTATTGTAATAACAAAATATTTTCAAAATTTAATTTTTTGTCTTATGATCTTCAACATATTATCTCAATATTAACTTTAATGTTACACTGTATTCTAATTTTCCTGGTCAAAACCTATGCCAGGAAAATTAGAACATACCGTAGTTATTTCATTAGATCTACCTAATTGCTAATATGTTTTATAGATTTTTGTTCTGCTCTCTAGGGTCATATATTTAAGTTTCCAGAAGAGAATTATAATTAAAATACATAGGTCTCACTATTCTTGTTAATGTTCAACTCCACAGTGATGAAAATTTCCATTTTATTGCTTGGACCATAATTGTTTTTTATTTTCATTTATTTCTAATCTCATGGGTTTCTTACTTAAATTATGATTTTTAATACAATTTATTAATTAATCTGTAGTCAATCTTTCTTTGTTCGAGTCTAAATTAAAGGAAGCTGTGTAATAATATTTGTATTTTTAGAACCCACATCGCTCAGATTGTCAAGCACTTTTAACTTGGGCCTTGGAATCAGCATCTGGTTTTTATATCACCCTATTGCAAGAGTTGTGTAATACTTTCGATGTTGACCTACCATTTCGTAGAAGAGGAAACATTTTTGGACAAACTGTTCCTAATTCTGAACTAAATTGTTTGCCACAGACTTCTTCTTGTTTATATGTATGCCAATATTGTCTAGTTCATTTGGGGGATATAGCTAGATACAGAAATCAAAGGAAACAAGCTGAGAGCTTTTACAAGTAAGATTTAATACATTCAAATTTCAATAAGATTTTTCTAAATAAGGTATTTTTGACTTCTAGGCAAGCTATTTTGGTCTCTCCAACCAGTGGTCATCCATATAACCAACTTGCCCTGCTAGAGGCTAGTCAAGGGAATAAACTTTCCACTGTATTTTATTATATAAGAGGTATTGCTGTGAAAAATCCCTTTCCTGCTTCTGCTACCAACTTAGCTTGCACTTTGAGTTCTGCTGTAGACAAGGACAGGTAAGAAAATGATAAATCCAAAAATGGTCATTGTTTATTTATAATAATAAAAGTATGTGCATTATTGTTTGCACCTAGATGCAAAAATCACATGCTTGTTAAATAATCGTTTTGTGTCTTGTTTAAAATAATTTTTGTACGACCAAAATAAGTTGATTTAAGCTAATAATAAGTATAGTTGATTTGTAGGAAATTCTCTATTTAAATAGCTAATTTGAATAGCTGTCAGATGATTCAATGCAGTAATATATAGACCCTCCCTAAACAACAATTCCATTAGTTAACCCTGTCTCATAAATTTACATATTAAATAACAAAAAAATTACAAATTGTAAATAAAATTCATAAATATTATTTATTATTAATTTACGGGTCAAAACCCATTTTACAGATTAGTATACAAAGATCCATAACAAATGTAAAATGGCACATTACAGCAAGTTATAAACTAATAAGTAAAAAAAGAAATATAAATAAAAAGAAAATAAAATAGAAAATAAAAACTATATAACTAAATATAATCAAAATAAAAATATTCAACAAATACATATTAACATGCAAGATTTTTATAGCTCTTTTAAAAGCAGGAAGAGAATTATGGACAATATCAATATTCTGATGTTCGTTAGCTAATCATAAAATTCTGGGTATTGTCTCATTTTGTCCGTAGTTAGTGTGATGAAAAGGTATTCAAAATAGTTCAACATTCCTTGTACGTCTTTCATTTACATTGAAAAGTATCAAGTTCAATAGTTCGGAATTTGATATAATACCATTTTAAGTCGAATTCTATTCTCCTGTGCTCCAATGTTTGCATGTTTAATTGGAGAAGAATATTTTCATAATTAATATCTATTCCGTTTATGCCCATTTTGAAAGCACAAATCCCCAAAAATTTTCCTTGTACTTTCTCAATGTGATTAATGTAAATAACATAATTGGGGGTCCAAACAGAGCAGCAGTTTTCTAAGTTAGACCTAACCAAAGTCGAGTACAGCAGTTTAAATGTATTAATAGAAAATTCTCTACTGTTCCTCTGAATAAATTCTAACATTTTAAATGCCTTAGAGGTTATTTGACTAATGTGAGTGTTAAAGGAAAGCTTACTGTCCATAATAACTCCCAAATCGCGAACATTGTCGTTAGTTTGTAGCACACAATTATTAATTCTGTATGAATAGTGAACTGGAAAGGTAATTCTAAAAAAGGTGAACTGATGACATTTTTTAACATTTAAGTACAACACATTTACATCACACCAACGGGGTAATCTATTTAAATCCTCTTGTAGTAACAAAGCATCTGTTTCATTGGAAACTGATCTAAATATTTTCACATCATCAGCAAACATGAGATATTTACTGTTAGAGATGACACTAGAGAGTTCATTAATAAATAAATTGAATAACAGCGGACCCAAATGAGATCCCTGCGGTACACCTGAAGATACTGTAATTGCCTCTGATTTTCAGTTGCCATATTTCTGTTACGCAAATAACTATCAATCCAATTTAATATAATATCACCAAACCCATATCCTCTTAGTTTAGAAATTAGTATGTCATGGTTGACTCTGTCAAATGCTTTTGAAAAATCCGTATAAACAGAGTCAACTTGACACCTCGATTCTAAGGATTGTACAATGTAATAGTTATTTTGGGCCCACTTCTTTTTATAGTTTTTATAAGTGATATAAGTAATTTTTGTTTAAGCTGTCAACAAATAGTTCAATATGCCGATGATACCAATATTGTAATGGCAGATGATCAAATTGAACAGGTCTCTCAAAGTAGCAACGAGGCATCTCGTGAGTTTAACCAGTATTTTAAAGATAACAGTCTGGCATTAAATGTAACAAAAACAAACTTCATGCAATTTCCACCCAAAAACATATTACCAGATTACGAACCCTACTTGCACGTTGACGGAAAAACTATTCAAAGCGTTGATGACAATTTTTAGGAATATTAGATCCCAAATTAAATTAGGAAGCTCATATAAAAATGGTAACTTCAAAATTAAGTACTTGTTGTTATATCATCAAAAATTTAAGGGAGACACTATCTTTTGATACTTTAAAACTATGCTATTTTAGTTTGGTTCATTCAACTCTACAATATGGGTTAATATTTTGGGGTTCTTCACCATACTTTGAAAGAGCTTTTGTATCTCAAAAGAAGGTTCTGAGAGCCACCAACAACATTATGTAAATAACTTTTCAAGAAAACGCAAATTTTAACACTACCTTCCCTTTTTATTTTTCAACTAATTTTATACATGAAAAATAATGAGCATATATTTAAGAAAAATAAAGACCTGAACTCATATGATACTAGATTAAAATTTAACATCCATCAACCTTTTTCACGAGTACAAATAAGCCAGCATTCACCAAAATATATTGGGATTAAGTGTTACAATAAGTTCAGTAACATATTAGAAGATACTACAGGTTATCATCAAATTAGTCCTAATGATTTAAGAAAACATCTTAATGATTTTCTTGTAAATAATGTATTTTGTAGTATAGAATATTTTTTGAACTTTTAAACTAATCTTAACATGAATTGTCTATTATATATATTTTATTTTTAATGTATTTTACTTAACACTTTTTTGACTAGTCTTATCGGATTTTACATTATGTACCTAGTGTCTTTGTATAGTGTATAATTCTCAAAGATGAATAAATTCTATTTCTATTTCTATAATTCACTAAATTTGTACAAGTAGACTTACCTTTACAAAACCCATGTTGTTGGTCTGAAATCAGATGTTTACAATCGAATTTTAAATACTCATTGATAAAATAATCTAACATTTTAGGAATTTTTCTTTTGGTCCAGATTTGTAAATAGGTCTTAAAAAACTGCTCTTCCAATAATCAGGAAATTCACCACAAGACAGAGATAAGTTAAAAAGAAAACACAGATGTTTTGTCAAAGTAAATACACATTGTTTTAAAAAGTAGGCAGGAATCTCATCAGGGCCAGCTGTAAGTTTCCATGGTAAATTCATAACATGATTAAGGCCACAGTACCACCCCCAATATTCGTAACATGAACTAATTTTGATAGATGTCATTTATATGTCATAAATTAAGAATCCTTTTGTTCAACAGATGGAGCAATATTCCATATTTAATAGTTCTTTTGTTCAACAGATGGCGTAATAATTTTATTAATTTTAAACGGTAATTGTTATAAAATAATAAATTCATCACCCCTAGCCACTACGCGATGATACGTAAACGAGTTCTTGACCTTGCAAATATTTTCGATGTAGCAGGTATAAAAATAATATTTTGGATTACATTCGGAATATCGGTATATTTACTTAGTAGTTCATTCTTGTGTCCAGTCAACAAAGGATAAAGGTCTTCGTATCATTACGTAGGGACCTATTATACCATACATGGTGTTTCGTTAAGAATGGGACATAGAACAACTGACGATTCTCTGAATAAAATAAGATAACTAAACAAATCATGTTTTGATAAAATGTTTCTCGTTTCCGAATTACGGTGTTAAAATCCAAAAAATATTTATGGCTATATGTTTTTATTACTCACAAGAATTTTACTAAATTTGGCAAACGGTTTTGATGTTATAATATCCACCTATCAGCAAAAAATTAGTTACCTGCTTTAATTAACTTTTCCAGAGGCGTACAGCATTGGTACGTAATACGGTATCCCTTCTAAATTTTACGTCACTATCCAAAAAGTTATTTAGACATAAAATTTTAAATTTTTTGATGTTTTTCAAATAAATAATGTACTCTTTTTAGAAATTTAATAAAAAAAATCAAAATTTTGGACAGTGGACTAAAATTTAGAAGGGAAAAAGGTGTTACTTGCCCATGAAGTATGCCACTGGCAAAGCTTATTTAACTTATTTTTTTTTGCTGATAGGTGTATTTTATTACACCAATAACGTTTGCCGAATTTAGTAAAATTAAACTGAATAACAAAAAAAATTGTAGCTGTTTATAATTTTATTTTTGATTTTCGAGTAATGTTTTACCTACGGATGTTTCGTTTAATCGGCTTATTTCTGATCAGTTAATCTTCAGTTGCTTCCATTCTTAATGGAATACCCTGTATATACCGAAAGGTCTTGCAGCAAATGAATCAAATAAAAAAAGAAAAATATAATAAAAAAGTGTTTTTATTACCGTATTTACCCACAATACTTTATATAGATCTGCATCAGTAAAAATTATTTTCAACAAATTTAATCTCATTTATATGTAGTATGCTTAGATAAAAGAGACCAGAGATATAACATACACCGGTTTTAAACCTGCGCAAATGTTGCCAATTTCTAAAGAAGGGTTAACGGAGTGGGGGAACTGGGCGGCGACACGCGGCGACCCGAACTCTGTGACAGGGACCGGACTTTGTTTATTAGCATCTTAATGAACTATTAGGTTTATTTAAAAGGTGTTTAATCGAATTTTGTATTATGAAATCAAATTATCGTGATTTTTTAATATCAAACAGATGCCACGACATTTTATGTAAAGAGAAGAACTTTTATAGACTATTTCGTTAGCGTTTATTTACTACGGACTTTTCTGCAAGAGATTACAGTAAAATGTTGAAATAGAATATATTGTTAATAGAGCAAAAAATGTTACTCATTGTCTACGAGTATTATAAAAATAGCATGTGCGCAGGCTAATACTGCAAATCTACCCTTATGAGTTGAACATTATATTTTTTCTACGGCTATTACATATTATTAAAAATTAGTCAAAATGAGAAAATGCTGTTTTGTATTGTAACCTCAGAAAAAGTATATTAAGGCTTCTTTCTTTAAGAATATTATTTATTATAAAGGATGAGTCACATAAAACTCTAGAAATACATATGTCTGAAACCAGATAACATTTTAAAATTTAAATCTATTAAAAGTCATTTGGTCGCTAGGGATGAGTGATTATCGAAATAAATTATCGATAATTGAAAATAATCGATTATTTTCGATCAATAGATT